CTATGTCCCTAATCTGTGTAAATCCTCTAGCAACAAGACGCGCTTTGTACCTTACTTGACCATTAGCATCAAGGTTTTGCTTAAAAATCCATTTTGTGTCAATAGGATTCCTCCCTCTTGGTAAATTGGCAGGTTCGTACACATTTAACCTTTCCATGTTTTTCAGCTCTTCATCTGTAGCCTCTAACCATTTTTCCTTTCTTCCCTTGTGGCAAACTTTCTATTTCCTCAAAACTTTGAGGCTCATAATTAACTAAACATACTCTCACATTTTGTATTGTGAACCTGTCAGGTTTCTTTCTGGTTCTCTCACTTCTTCTGAGTAAAATTTCCTGACTAGTTCCTTCCCCAGGATCTTCATTCACCTCATCATCCTCATCTGAGAGCCTAGACCTCTTAAATTTTCTAATTATAGGCTTACTTATGAGTTGAGGTGTAGCAGCACTTTCCTGCACTGTGTTTTGTCTACCTTGCTCACGAGTTTCCTCTTTCGAAATAGGAAAGAAAACTTCCTGATTAGCATGAATCTTATCCCAATTCTGGCTACAGGCAAAATTAGCAGATCTTGATATAACAATGCTTCCTTCATTATCTAAAAATCGCCAAGCTTTGGCTCCCTGTGCATAGCCAACCATTGTTAATTTCCTGGCTTTGTCTTGGCCTTTCCTTCTTAATGGTTTGGGGATGAACACCCATGCCTGTGTTCCAAAAGTCCTTAAATGCCCTAATGGAGGCTTCTTGCCATATAACATAAAATAAGGGGTGTTCTGAATAGGCTCACATCAGAGTCTATTAATTAAATAACATGCAGTCATTACTGCTTCTCCCCATAGATTTTGGGATAATCCAGAATCTTCTAACAAAGAATCTTTCACTGTTTGCACTTTTCTTACAAACCTTTCTATCTTTCCATTTTCTGCACTTTGATAAGCACATGTGAGTCTGTGCTTTATCCCCTCTTGCTTCAGAAAATTTTCTAAACTATGTGAGGTAAACTCTCCTCCTCTGTCAGTTTGGAGAGCCTTTACTCCTACTCCAAATTGTCTCTTCACATATGCCACCCAATTCTTAATAATATCAAAAACGTCACTCTTTTGTTTTAACAAAAAACACCAAGAAAAACAAGAATAGTCATCTAATAAACACAGTATATAACAGGCTCCACCCTTACTCGGTTGAAATGGTCCAACTAAATCAGCATGTACCAACTGAAACTTTTCCTCTGAGTTTCTCAAACTTTTACTAACTGGAGCTGACTGTGTTTTAGTTTTCTTGCATACATTGCAATCTAGAAACTTCTTGCAATCTTTTAATTTTATGCCTTCACTAAACTCTGGCATTTTATACAACACTTTGAAACTTGGGTGACCTAATGCTCTATGTAAATCATGAATACATTCCTGGTGTAATGGAGCATTCTTACTTATTACATTTACTTCACTTCACTTGTGTTATCTCCTGAGGTCAACACATACAAACCCCCCTGTAATACACCAGTTCCACATAACTTATTCCCTTTCAAAATCCTGACTTTTCCTCCAGAAAAATTAACTTCATAACCTTCTTTATCCAGTTTTCCAACTGATAATAAATTATAATAAATCTCTGGAACTAAAAATACATTCCTTAATGTTTTACCCAAATGCTTAACATAAACTTCCCCTTGCCCCTGTATTTTGTACTGTTTTCCATCTTCAAGGGTAACATTTGAACATTTAGGATTCACAGGGTTACAAATTAAACTTTTGTTGTTCACTATATGCTGTGAACATCCAGAGTCCACATAAAATATGTCTTCAACTGCTGGACTCCCCTGGGACTTCACAATTCTTACATACGAGGAACTCCTCCTCTGGTTCACCTTCTTCCCTCCTTGCTTCTTCTGCTGCTTTGGGCAATTCCTCTTTAAATGGTTTGGAGACCCACAATTGAAGCATCTTCTCACCACACAAACTTTCTCCGTCTCCTCCTCGAGTGCAACTCCGGCTGACTGCTTTCCTTGAGAATGCCCTGCTGTGTTTGCAGTCTCCAGGAATTGATCTC